GCGAGGCCACACAGATGCTACATCATGGTATAAGTAAAACAACATTGAGAGTAGTGGTATTTCACAGACGGCAGAGCCTCCCACTTATTCTACACCTCCCAAGTCATTTCACAACGTCAGACTAGAGTCAAGCTCAACAGGGTCTTCTTTCCCCGCTGATTATTCCAAGCCCGTTCCCTTGGCTGTGGGTTCGCTAGACAGTAGATAGGGACAGTGGGAATCTCATTAATCCATTCATGCGCGTCACTAGTTAGATGACGAGGCATTTGGCTACCTTAAGAGAGTCATAGTTACTCCCGCCGTTTATCCGCGCGCGTGTGAGAATTCTCTTCACTTTTAAAATTCCAAGCACTGGCAGAAATTCACACTGTGTCCAAACCCCTCTCCGGCCATCACAATGTCTTTGTTTTTAATTATAAAGCTCGCGAATCTCCTCTGTTCCGCTCCCATTTCTGTAGCGGGTTGTTTCAACGCCACTCAGGAAACACGCCAGTCCAGCCCGAAAGCCAACTCATCCTTCTCTCCCGCACACACACAGAGCAGCCCGACGCCAGGCCGCATCCGGTCCCCGAAAGGTCCAGACGCAGCCCAACGTAGCCGCCACAGTTCTCCAAAAAGACCCTAGGCCCAACCTCAGAGCCAATCCTTTTCCCGAAGTTACGGATCTATTTGCCGACTCCCTTATTCTACATTCTTCTATCAACTAGAGGCTGCTAACCTTGGAGACTGATGCGGTTATGAGTACGAACGAGGGTGCGAATAAATCTCTAGCCAGGATTTTCAAGGGCTGTCGTGGGCGCGCAGGACACTTCAAAAAGTAAAGTGCTTTGCCAAGGCATCCTCCTTATCGCCGGATAATCCGTTTCCAAGGTAGGATATGCTTGTTAAAAAGAAAAGAGAACTCTTCCCTGGGCACACGCTAGCGTCTCCTGGGTCGGTTGTGTTACCACATATTATCCACGTCTCGGTTCAGGAATATTAACCTGATTCCCTTTCGATACACGAGGCTGCATACAAAACGCAAGGACGAACCCCACGCCTCAAACAGCCCAGCTTTCAAACGGAAATTATCCTATTTTTTAGGATTGGATCTCCCGCGTTTTCCCATTTACGATTCACACGGGAAACCTTTTTTCCCACTTCAGTCTTCAAAGTTGGCATTTGAAATATATGTGCTACTACCACCAAGATCTGCACTAAAGGCCGTTTCACTCAGGCTCACGCCACGAGCTTCTTCACGACCTTCACGCCCTCCTACTCATTAACGCGTACATTATAAATGCTATCGCGCTAACGGCAAAGTATAAGTAGCCCGCTTTAGCGCCATCCATTTTCAGGGCTAGTTCATTCGGCAGGTGAGTTGTTACACACTCCTTAGCGGATTCCGACTTCCATGGCCACCGTCCTGCTGTCTAAATGAACCAACACCTTTTATGGTATCTAGGTGAGCGAGCATTTTGGCACTTTAACTTTGCGTTCGGTTCATCCCGCATCGCCAGACGAGCTTACCCCGTATGGCCCACTAGCAACTTGATATTCACATCCACAAGTTCAATTAAGAAACCTGCAGGTCTTACAGATTTAAAGTTTGAGAATAGGTCGAGGAAGTTTCTTCCCCGAATCCTCTAATCATTCGCTTTACCTCATAAAACTATCGTAAATAAGTTGCTGCTATCCTGAGGGAAATTTCGGAGGGAACCAGCTACTAGATGGTTCGATTAGTCTTTCGCCCCTATACCCAAGTTTGACGATCGATTTGCACGTCAGAATCGCTACGAGCTTCCACCAGAGTTTCCCCTGGCTTCACCCTACTCAGGCATAGTTCACCATCTTTCGGGTACCAACATATGTGCTCAAACTCAAATCTTTCACCACGAAGGTTCATGATCGGTCGATAGTGCCACACCGCAGACCGAAGCCCGCAGCATTTCCTACCTCAGACAACTTACGCTGCCCTTCACTTTTCATTTCGCGCTGGGGTTTCCCACACCCTTACAACTTTGCACACATGTTTAGAACTCCCTTGGGTCCGTGTTTTCAAGACCGGTCAAATCGCTCCATTTCGTCAACGTCCCGAACGGCAACAAGTTAAAACCCACATCAATCCACACACAACCACACACGCATAGCAAGCTATCCGCACACGGCGCACACAGAGACACAGGCCCACTCAAAAACACGTTGTAGGCACCTCAGTCCCAACCGCGACTACTCGTCCACCAAGATATAACAGACAAACGCAAGCGTAAGCCCTACCTCCTCGGCGGCCATTTCCCGCAGCATACGAACTGACCTTGACGTCCCACCGCAGCACAGGGCACCAGCAAGCACACACAGCACACACGCCGAGCGCAGCCAAAAAAGCCGCTGCCACAGCACACGCACGCACACACTCGCCAATGAAATATACCACGGATTATAGACACTGGAAACGATTCGGTTCCCTTTCAGCAGTTTCAGGTACTCTTTAACTCTCTTTTCAAAGTTCTTTTCATCTTTCCCTCACGGTACTTGTTCGCTATCGGTCTCGCACCAATATTTAGCTTTAGATGGAATTTACCACCTACTTTGCGCTGCATTCCCAAACAACGCGACTCAAAGAAAACGGATCGTACGCACGAGCAACTCAGGGATGAACGGGAGTATCACCCTCCATGCTGTCCTCTTCCAAGGAACTTGCCCCAAGCGCCCACACTGATCACGCCTCTATAGACTACAATTCGCCGCGCAAAACTTGCACGGAGATTTTAAGCTTGAGCTCTTCCCGCTTCACTCGCCGTTACTAGGGGAATACCATTGTTAGTTTCTTTTCCTCCGCTTATTAATATGCTTAAGGTTCAGCGGTAATCTTGCCTGATATCAGGTCCAATTGAGATGCATACCGAAGTACA